CAGGTTGGAAAAGACCTTAAAGATCAAGTCCAACCACAACCTAATCTTACTACTACCCTAACTCTAACAATCCTCTACTAAATCATGTCCCGGGGCACCTAATTCAAATGGTTTTCAAACACATTCAGGGATGGTGACTCAACAACCTCCCTGGGGAGCTTATTCCAGTGCTTAACAACCCTTTCAGTAAAGAAGCCTTTCCTGATATCCAACCTCTGGTGCAACTTGAGGCCACTTCCCCTTGTCCTGTCATCGGTGAGAAGAGACCAGCCCCACTCTCACTGCACTCACCTTTCTGGTATTTAAAGAGAGCAGTAAGGCATCCCCTCAGCCTCCTCTTGCCCAGACTAAACAGCCCCAGTTCCTTTAGTCGCTTCTCATATGGCATATTCTCCAAGCCCTTCCCAAGCCTTATTGCCCTTCTTTGGACTTGCTCTAGCATCTCAGTGTGTTCTGTACTAAGGTGCACAAAACTGAACACAATACTCGAGGTGAGGCATCGTCAGTGCCGAGTACAGGGGCAGGATATTTCCCTAGTCCTGCTCACCACACCATTCCTGATACAAGCCAGGATGCCATTGGCCTCCTTGGCCACCTGGGCACACTGCTGGTTCATATTCATCTGACTGTCCATCAGTACACCAAGGTCCCTTTCCATCAGGCAGCTTTCCAGCCACTCCTCCCCGTAGGAGCCTGTAGGGTTGCCTGGGGTTGCTGCGACCAAAATGCAGGACCCTACACTCGGCCCTATTGAAACTCATACAATTCATGTTGGCCCATTGATGCAGTCTATCCAGATCCCTCTATAGTGCTCTTCTCCCCTCAGGCAGATCAACACTTCCTCCCAACTTGGTGTCATCTGCAAACTTACTGAGGGTGCACTCAATCCCATCAATAATCAAGATCATTAATAAAGAAGTTAAATAGAAGCGGTTCCAGTACTGAGCCCTGGGGGACACCACTCCTGACTGGCTGCCAACTCCATTGACCACGATTCTTTGGGCCCAGCAATCCAGTTTGTGTTTCTCCCAGCAGTATTAGCCCATCCAAACTTTGTGCAGCCAGCTTCTCCACAATGATGTTGTGGGGAACAGTGTCCAAGGCTTTACTGTCATCCAGGTTGACCACATTATCAGCCTTACCTTCATCCACTAAGCAGGTCACCTTGTCATAGGTTTGTCAAACAGGATCTACCATTGATAAACCCATGCCGATCCTTTGGTTGACCTTTAATTGATCCATGATGGTTCCCAAAAATCAGTGCCCCATTTTTTTTACAATGATAAAGTTAACTCAGAAATGAAGTCAGGTTCTTAGAGATGCATTATGTTCCAATCACAAAGATTCCTAGCTTGTAATCTCTCAGAAACATATTCTGTAACAAAAGTAGCATTCAACCTACCAAGCAATCTGCAGATGTCGGAAGTGACTTCAACTTACAAACTTTTTGCCCAACTTTCTGACACATCTCCAACTACCTCTGCTAACTTGAAATTTGTCGTGATGTTCATTTAAGACTCGCATCACCAGTTCTGGACTACATGAGCCTCCTAGACTAAGCTTGATTCTCCTACTCACTGTTTATACAACAGAACATTTTTATCACTTCTCTGCCAAAGAACCACACACATACAAATGAGTCAGCAGCAGAAAAGTAAAACTTCTCTTTTGCTCTGTCAAGTAGGAAATAGATACCCCCACCAAAAAAAAAAAAAAAAAAAAGATCTCCCATTTAATTTCAGGGGAAAAAAAAAGTCATGGTCAAATTCAGGAGAATATATCAGGTGAAGATAACCATTTGTTATTCCATTTTCCTCTGCATTGGATTATCCAGACTTCTGGTACTTACCTTAGCATCCTTATACAGGAACCCCTGATTTGCACTGTTAGAAATCCTTTCTGTCCTGATTCTACTGGTCTGACTTTGACAACACTGAATGATCGGAAACTGCCTCTGAGTAGAGCTGTAAGATTGGTATCCCTAGGGCAATGAGTACCACTTCAAAGCAGGCACAGACCTCACCGTTACTTCTGAATGAGAGCTTCAGCATCGACTCTCCATTCATTTGAAATACATCCTTAAATTAAGAATGTAGCAGATCTGGCAGACACAAATGTGATTCATCTCAGCTGAGCTCCATGCATGCAGATCAATTAAATGTCAGCTATTAGAATTCACACTGCAGAATATTAACTTCAAGGCACAGTAAATTCTGCTTTGCATATAGTGCTTAGAGAAGAGACAAAGACATCTAGTTCAAATTGAGCCTTAATGAAGCAAAAACTGCTTTTCTGAATACAAATAAGAGCAAGCCACCTTTTACTTTGGGCAACTTACTATTTCCACATGAAATGGAGATAAGATGTCCCCTGAGTTAGTTATCCCAGAATTTCAGTTTCTCTTCAGGGTTTTGCTCAGATTTTACAGGAGTCTAAAGACAGCAAGCAGAACTACATCTCTAGCTTAGCTATGGGTCTGCTTGCTACTCTCTGAACCATTGTTGGGATTTAAACAGGAAGAAACAAGCAAAACTATTCTATCCTTAGATATCATTAGAATAATAGAATCACAGAATCATTAAGACTGGAAAATATCTCCAGGATCCAAGCATCCACCTACCACCAATATTTCCCCACTAATCGATGTTCCTCAATACAACATCTAAATGATTCCTGAACCCCTCTACCTCCCTGGGCAATCTATTCCAGCATCTGACCACTCTGTAGAAGAATAATTTTATCCTAATATCCAACCTGAATCTCCCCTGTGCAAACTGAGGCCATTCTCTCTAGTCCTATCACTAGGTATGCAGGAGAATAGGCTGACCATCCACCTCACCACAACTTCCTTTCTGGTAGTTGTAGAGAGCCTTAAGATGTCCCCTGAGCCTCCTCTTCTCCGGAATGAACAATCCAGTTCCCTCAGCCACTCCTTATAAGATTTGTTCTCCAGACCCCTAACAAGCCTCACTGCTCTTCTCTGAACACACTCCAGGGTCTCAATGTATTTCTAGTAGTGAGGGACCCAAAACTGAACACAGTACTTGAGGTGCAGCCTCACCAGAGCTGAGTGAGGGGATACACTATTTCTGATACAAGCCAGGATGCCATTGGCCACCTGTGCACACTGCTGGCTCATGTTTAGTCAAGCATCGACCAACAGCCCCAGGTTCTTTCTTCCACACAGTCTTTCAGCCACTCTGTCCCAAGCCTGGGGTTGTTGCAGACAAAGTGCCAAAGTGCAGAACCCAGAGCTTCTTGAACTTCATTCCACTGGCCTCAGCCCCATGATCCAGCTTGTCCAGATCCCTCTGAAGGGATTTCCTACCCTCAGGAAGATTGACACTTTCTCCCAAACTTAGTGTCATCTGCAGACTTTCTGCGGCTGCACTCGATGCCCTCATTCAGATCATCAATAAAGATACTGAAGAGGACAGGCTCCAGCACCAACCTCTGGGGAACACCACTTGTGACCGGTCGCCAGCTGCATTTATCTCCATTCACCACAACTCTCTGGGCCCAGCCCTCCAGTCAATTCTTTACCCAGCAAAGAGTGTACCTGTCCAAGCTACAGGTTGCTAGCTTCCCCAGGAGAATACTGTGGGAGACAGTGTCAAAGACTCTGCTGAAGTCTAGGTAGACCACACCAACAGCCTTACCCTCATCCACCAGAAGGGTCATTCATTCACAGAAGGAGATTAAGTTGTTCAACATGCCTTTTATGAACCCATGGCTGAGCCCGATCCTCCCTGCACATGCCATGTGATCTCACTCAAGATGGTCTGTTCCATAAGCTTCCCCAGCACCGAGGTCAGGCTGTAGTTTCCCTGATCCTCCTTGTAGAAGAAAGTCACAGTGGTGAGCCTCCAATCCTCTGGGACCTCTCTGCTTGACCAGGAATGCTGTTATATGGTGAAAATCATCTTGGCCATCACCTCCGCCAACTCCCTCAGCAACCTCAAGTTACCTTCTGGTCACACTCCTTTTAATGCACTTCAGGATCTCAGTGGCCTTGTTGGTCACCTAGCCACATTGCTGACGCATTGATAACCTATAGTCCACCAGGACGCCCAGCTCCTTCTCCGCAGAGCTCCTCTTCAGCAGATCATTCCACAGTCTGTACTGACACATGTAGTTACTCCTTCCCAAGTGCAAGACTCTATATTTGCTTTTGTTAGGAAGTTCCACACAAATTTGTGAAGGAATTTTATCACAGTGAGTGTGAGGGAGCACTGGAACAGGTTGTTCAGGGAGGTTTTGGAATCTCCTTCTCTGGAGATACTCAAGATCTGCCTGGGCGCCTACCTCTGCAGCCTGGTCTAGGGAGCCTGCTTTGCAGGGCGGTTGGACTCAACGATCTCTAGAGGTCCCCTCAAACCCCTACAATTCTGTGATTCTGTTATTCTTGTCCATTTTGAAGACTGGAGTGACACTGGCTATCTCCCAGTCTTGAGGTACCTCTTCTGTTCTCTAAGACCTGTGAAAGATAATAGATAGCAGTTAGGCAGTCACCTCTGCCAGCTCTTTCAGCACATGTGGATGCATCACATCAAGTCCAATGGCTTTGTGCACACTGATCCCACAGCACCTGTGAGAGACTCACTTTTGAATACTGAGGAGAATTGTCATTATTACATATTTCTTATTAAAGCATATGTGGCAGAAAACATTTTAAAAGAAATTATGTCAGTGTTATACTCCATATTGAAAAAAGATGTCTAACTCCAAATGGGAAACAGACACTCTGATTTCTTTATTACTTTTTTCTCCTAATTAGTCTCAGTATCTGTATGATAATGAAAAAAAAATGAAAAAAAAAATTTAAAAAAAAAAGAAGACGAAGAAGAAGAAAGAAAGAAAGAAAAAGAGCATGCATTCCCAAAGGCAGCTAATTAAAAATTCCCTCCACCTCCCTGTCCTTATCCACTATCCCTTTCTCTTTCAGGAGGCAGGGTCTCATGGCGACCATGGCGAAAGAGGCATGGCATCCTCCCCAGCAGCCGCTGCTCACCATAGCAACCGGGACGTCAGCGTCGACCGCCAGCCACCGCAGCCGGCAGAGCGGTGGGGAAGAACCGGGGCACCCAGCGGCCACCCCGTCGGGGCCACGGGGCCGGGGCGGGAGCCGTGCCGCTGTCCGCGGTGCTGACGGGAGAGGCCGCGACGGGGCGGGGGAGGAGGGAATAGCGCGAGTCAGCAGCCAGCCCTGCCGCACGTCGTTTTCCCTTAAAGTAGAGGGGCATAATAATCCACCCCTCCTTCTATTGGATTTGCAAGTGGCCGGGCACAGATGTGAACATACTGCGTGTTCTTCAATATGACTTCACTTGGGATTATAAAAGGAAGAAGGACGAGACCAGGACTTCTGGGATTATGCTTTGGAACAGGTACGTGTATCTATAGGTGCTGAGCAATGTTGTAGCTAAAGGAATAGCTATCCTTGTAAAGAAAGATGATCTTCTCCAGCGACTTACTTTATGTATATTTTCATGCGTGCTTTTAAAATCCATGGGTTTTAGCTAGGAGAGATTTATTCAGGGACAAACACTCTGCAAGGCTTGAATGTTGAGGTGATTCTGTTGAAAGCAAAAGGGTGAGTAGAACTACTGCAGAATAAACGTCTTCATTTTCTATATAAATATATGCATTGTATATCAACATTCAGTATTTTTATGTGGGATTTATTTGCTTTCAAACAATCCCCTGACATAGACAGTATGATGAAAGAAAGTAACTGAGAAGAAGCAGACCAGTCTGCCCATCTGTTACTCTCAGTTGCCAGATGCATTCATGCAGCTTCTTCTTTCCCCTTGAAATTGCACTATTATAGCCACTTTTGTGTTTTTCTGCCATTAATTTTTAATTATCCCTTTTGAAAGAATTAAGTCCCTTCTTCTGTTTGGGTGCCTGGATGCATCTTCTTAGGAAAAAAAAACACAGGTGCAGTAATCTTTGCTTATCTGTACCCAGCAGAGGCAAGAAGACGACTCCGTTTTTGCTAATTCAGGCAGATGCTCTCTAAAAATGCATAGCAATATTTTTCATGTATCCAGATGACTTCTAGGATGACAAGCAATATGTTGGTTCCACAGAGTTAAAGAGAAGTAAAACTGCCTTCTACTTTCAAAAGGCCATTTGTTTGTATGAGGTAAGGTTCCAAGCCAGTTCTTTCTGGCAAGGATCTTTAACAGTGGTTCTCGAAAGGGTTGTCAGTAAATCACTCTTTCAGTGTATAATTACTGGGTTTTGGAATCTTGATTTGTGAGTTTATTTGAAATATATTGAAGTCAGGATGAGACAGTAAGGGAAGAAATTTCTGTACCTTTAATACATTTGGGGAGCTCTGCTCTTTACCTCAGAAGGAGAGCTTGCAAACCCTCACACCTCCACAGTACTCCTGTGAAGCCTCTGCTTGTGAAGCTGTGCAGTGCAATTTCATCTGGGTTGCACCACATAATCTCATGTGATTTTTTCCTTTGGCAGTCCCACCAGGCATCTTCTCTCAGGTGTCCAGCAATTCAGTGTGACTCCCAGTCAGAGAAATGTCAACCAGAGAATGCAGGATTAGCCTCAAGCAGAGCCCACTTCCCCTTCCTACCTCAACCTCAGTCTTCTCAGCAACAAAACTTGAAGCAGTATTTGTGTTTTTAAGATTTATCCATTACAGCATCTTCCATCTCTCCCTACGTTCCCTTCAATTGGCAGCCAGAACAAGTCTTGCAGCTGGCACCCTGCCCAAGTAAATGTCTCCAGTGCAGGGACTGCTTCTTCCTCAATGGCTTAGTCTTCCCTGAGCTCAACTCAGTCGGGACATCCCTTCCAACAACCATTTCTATACCAGGCATTTCCAACCTAACTGCAGGCTTTGCATGGCCTCCAGTTCCCTCCTGCTTCCTCAGTAAAGTCAGTATGAGAAGGCCACGAAAAGCTCTCACTAAACCATATCCTCTGACAGAGGCCATAGGAGCATCCTCCTACTGATTGTTTGGGACTTCTTTTATTCCTATCACGTAAGTCTTCCTGAAATCATATTCAGGTCTCTGGCAGCTCTACCCCTGGCATTATTATTAGACACCAGTGCCATCCTACTCTTCTGCTCTACACCTGGCACAAGTGACCCGTGTCACGTGAGCTCTAGATCTGTCTTACTGGAGAAGATACAGGATCGTAAAGCAGACATTCATTCCAGACATGAAAGTTTGGACCAGTGCATAAATATTGCAACCATATTCACTGCATGAGTGCTGATAAAGCAACTTTTACAACTTAATGTCAAGAAATCATTCCTGTGTGAAATTTTTATGTAGAAGAAGAAAATATATATATTCTCCTAAGTAAATTGTCAGCATGAGCTGAGCTGCTGTCACCCTCACATATGCTGCTGGCATGTTTTCCATGCGGGGGAGAGGAGGCTTGGTGGGGAGAGGATGAGAATTTCCAGGAGATAGGCAGAAAAATCAGCCAGGCATGAGATTCATCACAGCTCATCTGTCAACACCCACCATGAAAAACTAGTCCTGTAAGCATTGCATTCCTCACATCAAGCACAAGTGTGTGTTGTGCTTTGAACAGGGCCTGGTGTTGCCAAAAATGAGTGTACGAGTGTGGGAGAGTACATCTATTTTTTTTTACCTCTGAATCAGGGAAGGACAGCCTCATTCCCCACTGAAGAAAGCAGAGCCTGCAGAAGAATATTTCAAGCTTTTGTTGCACAACACCAGTAGGTGGAACCTGTTTTGAAAGCAGGGTTGGAAATTAGGTCAGCCCCCCTCCTCCTTGCTCCCAATCTTCCTGCCCCCCACAGTCACGATGGGCAAAGAGATATGGGTTCTGTCATCGTTTTTCAATCAGTATTCAGCTAAAGTTTTGGCTACTATCCACAGCAGTAGGAGAGTAGAACAGAGCTTAGAGATTTTTAAGATTCAGTGGATCTTCCTTTTGAGTAAGAAGAATTACACCTAAAACAAAAGACCATAATCTTTTTTTTGTTTGTATGTCTTGGCACTGTCTTTAAGAGTCTCAGCCAATGTGCAGTACCTTGTAACTTGCACATGTTCTTCAACACTGAATGTTTACCAAACTCATGAGCCTCTGGGCCAAAACTCAGGGCCCAGCTCTGCAGCCAGAGGAGTTGCTTCAGATGTGAAGTGACATCCAGAAGCAACATGTGGACCCAGTTCCTGGCTGGTGAGTTTCTGCATGGCTCACCAATTACTAAGCCCAGTCAGCCACTTATTTTCCTCACATACATAGCAGAAAAATATTGTTGAGATTCATGCAGTAGCTGAAAACAACATACGGTAGTTATATGTGATGGAAATAACGATTTCCTTTACTTGATTCCATCCCCATTTCCTACTCTCTCACCCTGCAGTATAGGCTAGGCAGCAGATATAAAATACAACAAGCAGACATAAAATATAGCAATGTGTGTCAGCTTACACTGTCAGTTCAGTTCAGAAGCTTTTACTGTACACCGGCTTACCCACACCTCCAGGCACACGACCTTTAGCTAACGATGCTGCTGAACAGGATTCTCTGCCAGCAGAGGGCAGAAGCAGGAGTGCGGGCAGCGGTATATAAAATATGGGTTTGAATCTCAAAAGATGAATCTCAAAAGTCTTGTTCTCCTAATAGAAGAGAGACAGATGTTTTCTATCCCTGTGTACAGGAATGAAGAGAGTAAGAACATACTCAAGAGATTTCCAGACTGTGCTCAGAAGAGCAGGTGGAGAATAGGAAAGCCTTCATAACAAGAGCTGGGTGAGGAGCTGAGAGTTTTTATGAATACTAGCACAGAGACAAGAACTGGCAGGGAATCTGCATGCTTTCAAAAGCATGTGCAGCCACATTGCTACCCTGGAAGCACAAGTACTGAATGGCCTCAAGATGCACACAGGCATCCCTATGCAGCAAGAGACAGTTACAGGTCAAAAGGCTCTGTGCTATTCTGTAAAAGGATTATTGCACTGAGACCCAGCACATGTAGCGTAGTTAATTTGAGTTAAGGCAAGAGTGAATGTCACCTCCTAGCATCTTATACCCAGACAAAAGCACCCCATCCTGATTCAATTTACTCCTGCTTCTCACATTGATTAAACTCCTTTAGATGAAGCATTCCTCTTGCAGTCCGGCAGCTACTCCCAAGAAATTCTTCTGAGAGGGGAGTTCGTGGAGTAAAAGACCAACATAATGTTCTTCAAATAACTTTCTGGGCCTCAGCATGACCAGCATTTTGCAGTGATAATGCAGAGGACTTAAACACATTGGATAAAAAAGCCACTTTGCTATTTACTTAGCTATCTTTTGTTCCTAAAAAAAAAAAAAAAAAAAAAAAAAAAAAAAAAAAAAAACAGTGACTGGGAAAAATATTTATTCTTTTGAGTAAGCACTAAAAAAGACCATCTGTTGCATTCCTTTTTGAATCTTTTTAGGTTTTACTGCTCCAAATTGCAATGGAAATGACATTTCTAGACAGGACAGTAAACATGTAGTAACTATGCCATATAGGTTTTATACAACAGCACAGAAGATGTGGCAGTGATTTTATGTCATTCTTGTGGCTCAGGTACTTCTTCTCTGAGTAACAGACCTCTTTTGGAGAGTTAGCATTTCCTTTACTATCAACTCAAAGGCATATCCCTGGAAATGATGCATTTGGGCTTTCACATTACAAAGCAAGTCCATAAGGTAGGACATGCAGCACCAGGAAATCCCTCTTTGATGATAATGAAAATTTCCTTATACCCTATTGATTTCCACATAAATCTACAAAGCTTCAGATTTTAAACGAAAACATAGGAAGTCCTCATATCAATATAAAGGATTCTTACTCCAAAATATTTAGAACAAAAGAGTGAGAATTTTGGTATAGCTGCATCAGTGCAGATTCTCAATTAGTAAAAGTGTAATTTAACTCAGATCTATGTTGTTTTTATTTAAATGGAGAAACAAGCAGAAGTATTTTTAAAATAAACAAAAATGTCATTAGGCCTTATGTATTTATGTAATTTTTACTTTTTTGTGTGTCCAATACCTGCTTATTGACAAAGAAGGCAGAGGGAAAATAAAGAGCTCAGTGCAGTTTGTCATACATGCAAGTTTGACAGTTCATTGAGACTTAATTGCATTTTAGTTAGCAAAGCAGCAAAAAGGGGCATGAGAATTGCAGCTGGATATTTCTGAGTGGCAGATACCTTTGCATGTCAAGAAGGGAAATTAAGGAAGAATATAATAGTTCTTTTATATCTGGCTAATAGGCTCCACATGTATTATTCTATTACAGATCATTCCAGCATGCAATTCAGCAGGTTGTGCTGACAGTGCATCCTGCCACTCTGCCAAAGAAAGCACCCTATTACCCTGCAGACTGTTGGCAAAGGCAGGATATCTCCAGGAGAACACTAGATGGAGAGGGGGAAAGGGGTTACTTCAGGAACCAGGACTCTTCTGCCAGGAAAATCTACTAAGAAAACATTTAGGTAAGGCAGGTAAGGATGAAGGAGAAGCACAGGCCAGACTGGGCAGCATGAGAAAGGACGAGGGGCAGGGTATCTCCTGAAGGCTGAGGTCCCTTCCAGACAGCTGACACCCACTTCTTGGTCTCTGGATGTCCTCTCCTTGTATCCCCAACTGTTATTTGAAAAGAGGGACTCGCATAACGTTCCTGAAACAACACTGGCAGTTATCAGCCTTAGACCGCTTCAGCTAAACTTAACATGAGATGTTTGCAGTTTAGATGAACACAAAAGCTGCTCAATAAGGCTAGCTTCTCTGGGAGTAGTGTTGGTGACTCACGCACTGACCCACTTTCTGGTTCCCTGCCAGCAGCCAAGCATGTTGTGAGGCAGATGCTGTGGGGCCAAGACTTGGAGAAGACACAGCAGGTTCCTGTCACAGCCCAGCTGTTCTGTGCAGAGTGGCTGCATCTATGCAGATGTGTCATGCACACAATGTTTCGTTAAGATCAGCTGGTGAACACTAAGTCTAAATAGCTCAAGGAAAACATCTTCTGTAATCACATCAAACAATTAGTACATCTTTTCCTCTTCCACATCTGGCTATTTTTTTATTGTGTTCTTGAAGACCCATTTGGTAGCTTTGTGCTTAGAGAAAGTAGTTGGTGTAAAGCCAGATAAAGGCAGAGAAAAAAAAAGTCAGAAAAACACTGGATAAAACCTCAGAAAGCAATTCTGCTGATCTGGATCACTTGAAATCTCAAGGAAGACTGTGGTGGTTTCTGAGTTTCTCATTTGACTTCTGGGATGAACTGGTTTTTTGCTAACAGATTAATCCTGATATATCTGAGTTAGTACAAAGACTCTAGAGCTAAAGACTCACATATTGTAACCACAGGAACAGAACTTCCATTTCTAATGAGAAGAAGGTTTTGCAGTTCACCTGGAATTAGATTGAATGGACATTTTTCAAAGCATCAGGCAAGATGTCCATACATGCACAGTCAGTAGTACAACATGTTCTGCCATTTAATGCTTGTGAAGTTTAAGACAATCTATGGGAAACATAGTGATTATTGCTATATTAGAAAATCTTGTAATATATTTCTGACTATTTCTCTGAAATTCACGTATTCAATTTAAAATTATTATTCATTGATTAAAGTAAGTTTTCACAAATACTTATAACATTTTGTCTTCATTCATACAGAGCCCAAGCAGGAGACATGACTGTCGTGTTTGACCATAGTACAGACAACAACAACGTTTCTTTTGTTCTCCCTACATTATTGTTTCTGCTGCAGAACAAAAGCTACCCCAAGACCTCCCTTCCTGCAGCTGACCATGAGATGACAGAGTCACCCCAGGAGCCCAGGCCAAGCAAGAACCGCACTGTTTTGCAGTATGAGTTGAAGCCAGGGGAAATTGTATCAGCCAGCATGGTTTTTGGAGTACTGTGGATAATTTCCATCTTTGGAAACTCCCTCGTTTGCTTAGTGATCCACAGGAGCAGGAGGACGCAATCAACTACCAACTATTTTGTTGTCTCCATGGCTTGTGCAGATCTTCTCATCAGTGTTGGAAGTGCACCATTTGTGCTGCTTCAGTTTACAGCAGGCAGGTGGACACTGGGGAATGTGATGTGCAAACTGGTAAGGTATATTCAGTATTTCACTCCTGGAGTCCAGATATATGTGCTCCTCTCCATATGTGTGGATCGATTCTACACTATTGTCTACCCACTGAGCTTCAAGGTGTCAAGAGAGAAAGCCAAGAAAATGATTGTAGCAGCTTGGATCTTTGATCTTGCATTTACGTCACCCGTTTTCTTTTTCTATGGCTCCAATGAGGATGACCATTGCAACTTTTTTCTCCCAGGTTCTTGGGAAGGAGCCATCTACAGTATTATCCATCTCTTGGTGGTGTTTTTGACCCCATCCATCCTCATTATCCTATTCTACCAAAAGGTCATTAAGTACATTTGGAGAATAGGCACTGATGGCAGGACTGTTAGAAGAACAATGAATATTGTCCCAAGAACGAAAGTGAAAACAATCAAGATGTTCTTAATATTAAATTTAGTGTTTCTCCTGTCCTGGCTCCCATTTTATGTGATACAACTGTGGCACCCAGAGGAAACAGACTACAGGAAAAGTTCCTTGATTTTCATGGCTGTCACGTGGATCTCTTTCAGTTCTTCAGCTTCTAAGCCAACCCTGTACTCAGTGTATAATGCAAACTTCAGAAGAGGGATGAAAGAAACGTTTTGCATGTCCTCCATGAAATGCTACAGAAGCAATGCATACACCATCACCACCAGCTCAAGGATAGCAAAAAAAAATTATGTCGGGATCTCAGAAATCCCAGCACCAGCCAAAACTGTAACCAAAGACTCAATCTATCATTCATTTAACAGAGAAGCAAAAGAAAAAAAGCTTGCCTGGCCTATTCATTCAAATCCTCCAAATACATTTGTCTAATTGGCTTAATATATTTGAATGGTGATTATGTACCATCAGAACAAAAAACTTGATCTCCTTTTTGAACCAATGTAAACACACTTGTTTTTACAACAACTTTTAGAGAGAGAGAGAAAAAAGATATTTTATTAAATGCATTGATTTTGATGTATCTAGTCTATGTAATTTCAGCTACATTTTTCTCCTGTAAGTACTCTCCCTGAATCACAAGCATATTTGCTTTTTTACAAAAAAAGCAAAGCTCTTGCATTTTCTGTTTGTAGGGATAAAAGGGAGAAAAAATACCACTGCATTTTTAATCACTGTACATTGACCACCATGTTTAAATATAAAAATACACCCAAAGACATCTCTACAGCCTTTTGTTATGCCCCTAAGAATATTGTTGCACTAGGGTTTTCCTTCTTGTTCAGACCCCATGGCTAAGAGATTTTTGTATGTGGTAATGCTGGCAAAACACTGAGCTGATTGAATTCAGCTATAAAATTTCCACTGCCTCTGTAGAGTCAGCATTGAGTGCTTTTGCATACTCAGCATTGCACTTGTAGAGAGATGTAGTGGTAGAAGCAGCTTGAGAAAAGTCCTACCCCATGTATTACCCTCCCCAACTCCTCTCTAGCCGTGTCTACACCCACGCTGATGTGCCTGATGAGCAGCCACAGCAGAAGAGGAGCAGCATCACCTGATCTGACCTCACCACCAAAAGTCCCCAGGCAATGGCAAAATGCAGTGGGAAGCTCCAAAGTTACTTCCCCAGTGCTCAGCAACTGGTTTGGAACCAAAATGCAAAGAACAAAATTCCTAAGCCAGCCTAGGAGGCGCTTGGCTAATTGTGCAGCTTGAGCATCTTGAGCTAAAAAAAAAGGGACACGTTTACACCGTGGACATGTATACCATGAATTCATTCATCCTTGATATTTACTTTTGACGTTTGCTTAATCTGAGATACAGATCCACTCTTCCCATTAGGATTAGGTAACACTACTCTCAGTTATCTGCTAAGATTTACAAGACTGGATCATTAAATCCACAGGAGAATGAAGAGGGGCGTATTTTTGAAAACCAGTCTGAAATGGGCAGCCTTTACATCATGCTGTTATCAAACCCATTAAGAAGAACTGGAAAGAGCCTGCTTGTTTGATATTGATTTATTTTCCTAATTCCTCTTCTACTGCCCAAAACTACAGCAACTCAGAAAGCATCATAGATAACAAAATAAGGTCAGCACAAACAGCATTTGGTGAATTCCCCTCACTCTGATGGATCAGTGTATGCACTTTACCTCAGCCTGGAAAGTTCCTGTGTTGTCTTATAACATGAACAAGAGATTCTTGCTGGCTTCAGACCAGCAGTCCTGTTATTTCTTTTCCACACCAAAGATTTTCATCCTACTGTTATTTCCAACACAGAAACTGCTTCAGACGAGGCTCTGCTTGGATCATCATAATGTACCAGCTAGGGTACAGCCCAGTATCTTAAAGATCAGATTACCAACATGCATTTCAGAATCAAGTCATCCCAAAAGCATTGTGGGTTCTTTGACCTTAGGCGTTCAACTAGGCAGAAGCCAGCTACAGGGCAGAAAATAACATGCAAACATCAGATATCCCCCTTCACACACCCTATTTCAGAATCTCCATCTTTGAAAAATGCAACCTCAGTCACAAACTCTTCAGAGAATAATTCTTTTTCTACTGATTTCAGAGCAAATGTAGCACAACCTGAGGCCTGAAAGTCCTGCAGTAACAAAAGATAATAGAACAAGAGCAGTAAGTACTAAGGGTATATTAACCACAGTCATGCATCTCCCCTTCCGATCAGCAGAGAGCAGAAGCGCATGTATTGTTCAACCCCGGGTGACAGAAGTGGCCTGGATGGACTGTAGTGCTGGAATACTGTGTAGGGAAACTCCTTTGTTGAGTAATATTCCTGCATGTATTTTAGACATTTTCCTTCCCCCTACTCTACCACGCTGTGTGGCTATAAGAACCCTTACTGCTTGCGGGAACATTTCCTGTATGTGTTTCACAAATTCAGAAATCCCCATTAAATGAAGATTAGACATTTCTCATCAAAGTCATTAGCAAAAATCCCCATGTTCTAGGAGAGGAGAGGGCCTTAAAAATGAGACCATTTTATTCCACGTGGTTCATTTTTCCAGGCAAATTTTTTCTCCCTGAGATAGCAGCATGTGCTGATAAGGAGCAGGGCTCAGATCATTGCCGCCCTGTGCAGGGACTGCTGCCTCAGACTTTCTGCAGTAAAATAAGGGAGGAAGAGGTGAAACCCACCTCTGAGATGCCAAAACCTTCCTTGAGACAAAAAGTCTGGCAGACATCATTTTGAATATGAAACTAGAGGAATGCTTAGGTGTGAAGCCAGAGACTTTCATATATCTGCTCCTCTTCCGAACTTGAACTATTTCCCCACCTTCCAGAAGCTGTAAAGAAGCTAGAGGAGCAGTGATGTGCCTGAACATCAGGTACCCATGCTCACATGGAACCCCTTCCTCTCCCTGTCCCACCAGTCCTGCACATTCTTGCCAACCCTTGTCCTCTTGATGTTCTGGGAGCACCGTGCCCCAGACAAGGCTGCCTCCACACTCCTGGCAGCTCCCATCCTCCTTAGGCAGGGAACACCAGGCCACAGGTAGCTTTGTGCCACTGCCATAGGAGCTAAACATGGCATTGTGCTGTAGTAGGGCTGAAGGTGGAAAATACTTGGCAGCTTGATAGATGCTGACTTTGTGCCAGCACAAGAAGAAACCTTTTCCACATCTTATTTTTATATTTTATTTCTATTTTTAAAGCATTATTTTATTGGCTTGGTAACACCAGACATCATGTATCACTTAGTCTGCCAATGCCCTAGGAGTTCCAGAGACTCAGGAGGGAGATCATGCATTAGCCAAAAAAGAAATGGAAAATGCACTGAGATTTGATCAATATGTATCTGTCTATCTAGATGTCTAGATATCTATATCTAGAAATCTTTCCACACTTCTTCAAAATTCCTTACTACCAACAGCTGCTTTGCCAATAAAATTACTAAAGAGTGAGAGTACTTTAAGACTAAACCAAGCCATCCTATTCAGATAAGGGGACCTTCAAGGAATGTTCTGCGATGGGGAAATGGCCAGGTACTGCCACTGGATCTTCATGCTGCTCTGGAGGCAGATGCTCCCATGCTCCAGGTGAGACTGGAAGGTCTGGTCAGTGTGCAGACTCTTTACCTGTGGGTACCTGTGTGTGCCTTTGTGAATGTGTTTAGTGAGAAGGAGAGGAGCCAGAATACACAGGCTGAAGCCAGTAGAATTTATTGTACCAAGCTTGACAACTAGCAAACCAAACTGCCTCATTTCAGAAATATACCTCAATCATGTCTTCAAAGTAGCAGCTATGGGAGAAAGAAAGAACTTCTGGATCTCTAGCCCATCCAACATTTATTCTTAAGAGTTTTCTGTGCGAGAATATGGCCAGTGCCAACCACTAAACATTTTTTCCATTAAGTGGACACCCATCAGGTGAAAATTCTGTCATCACCATTAACATTTGATATTAACTATGCCATCCTTACAAATCATCAAATTGTGGCCCTCTGTTTTATTTCAGGAAAAAGTTTTATTTTCTGTTGAATGCATTTTAAAAATGTGCAGCTTGGGAGTGGGAGGCAGTGAGAAACAGAGGCACATACCACTTGGAACTTTTTCAACCAGCATCCCAGAGGTGATAGCAAAGTGGCGGTTACCCATAATTGCACCTGAAGGTATTCGTATGTCTGGCTAAGAATCTTCTGTATTCGTCATTCTCCTCACCTCAATCAGCTTCACATCACAGTTAACTGACAGTGACTTAGAAGTTGTTTTTCTGAAGTGCCAAATGCATGCCATCAATTGCAGCTGAAATTCTGAGTGCTCAGCCTTTCAGAATATCAGATCCTTCCAGTTCAAATGAAGTAGATTTGAAGTATATTAAATCCAGATCTGTACAGTTAGAGGAAGGGTTATTAGTTCCTTAAGTGATTCTGTAAGTTAATATACCTTTACTAGTTGGCTCTTTACAACCTCACAAGTATTATGGAGTAGGCCATTATAAATTACAGAAGATTTATTTGAACTGACTTCTAGTAAAACGTAACAAACCTACTGAAAAATTGTTATATAAATGTCACCTTCTGGCAAGCAGTTTGAACTAAAACATGGTTTTATTCTACACTATTGCTAACACACAAGTCTTCTTTCAGTCTTCTCACAAAACTGGCCTCTGGATAAAATTCAGAAGAGACACAGACAGCACTAACTCCTTTGCATTCAGAATCTCAGGCATTTTAGACCAGCTCTTGTTTTGGTCCTATATTTGCAAGGAAAGGGGGAAAAAAGAGAGAAAATAAAGACTACATTACTAAACAATTTCATTTATCCTCACCTCATGCCCAGCCAGACATTAGCCTTCCACTGCATGTGTAAGTGTGAGTAAGACAGGAGTTATTCTCATTTTCTTTCTTTGGGAAAGTGAGGGGGGATAGTCAGGAAATTTATCTTTCTTAAAGTTTTGTAGAATTCGACACATTAAGCAGCAGAGGTTGCAAATGAATGGCTCTAAGTATCTACTTTATTTCCACTGACACTACAGCACTGCTCACAGATTTCAGTTCAATTCTGTAGATTAATCATCTCCACTGCAACACATACTCTGCAAAGTCCCTCCCCATATTGATCCAAATACAGGAACTACAGCAATTAAGTGATATTCAGAGTTATCAAGACTTCAGATTATTTACAAGTTACCTGTCTATGCAGCAGGAGCAGCATCAAGTTTGCTATCTTGCAACACCAATGGGAGTGGATTTGCTGTGTGGGTTTCTGCAGAGTCCGAAACAGCTCTTGACACATCGTTGGACTGGTCTTTCCTACTAACCCAGCAGATCCATCTTTGAATTAAGTATTGGGTTTTTACATTTTTTTCTTGAAGAAGAGGGATGTTGTCGACATGACCTTTGGTCCTCTTACCAGGGGTTGCACCAGTTGTATCAGATTATGGCAGTAAGCACTGAGTTTCTGAAGCTGAGTTGTGCATATCTGTAGGACAACAGAAGCAGCTATCACTTCACTACAGGCCAGAAAACAGATATATGTCAACTATGTCAGGATACTTCAAGAAAGTCGACATGGTAAAGAGTGGCTTTCCACAAGTTGCTCTTGAACCCACAACAGTGCTTCCATAATTCCCATCAGAGACTAGGCTTTTGCCATTCAACTTTAAAAGATACAACTTTCAGAAACAGATTTTTTTTTCAGATTGAGTATTTTACAGGGTATCTCAGAAGTGCCAGTTGACAAACCCATCTATTTTTCATATGTTGAGAAGTTCATCACATGCCATCAGTGTACAAAACTTCCTGAAGGAAAAAGTGTTTCATCAACCAGCATAACCCAGCTGTAAATTTTGAACCCCTAACGTGAGCAAACTGTTGATTTTAGATTTATAGAGCAATCTCTTCAGCTCCTCTGGTTACACAGAGTTCTTCTCTCTCAGTTTACTCCGGTCAAATTTCATCCAAAATGCAGAAATGGAACCAAAAATCAATCAGACTTTGGTACACATTGCTCATTTCTGAGACTTTGTTTGGAACCCTGAGCCTGGTTTGCCAGGGAACCAGGACTTATGCAATACTGTTTGCAGTCAGATTTCATCAGCAACTTTTAAGCCCGTTACCAATTCTAACCCTCTTTGAAAAGGCAATCATAAAGCTAATATAGTTTTGAGAATTAACAACTGGTAACTTGGTGCCTATCCACCTGCAGGGGAAGGCAAAAGAGAAATCCAACACTGCTTGTAGGCTATGAGTACAACAGCAGCCAGTCAGATGGTGTCCTTGATGACCAGTTTGCCTGCTATCCATCAGCAAGAGTGAAAGAAGAGCCATGGAAAATCCAAACATTTCTGTAATATCAATGTACGGAATCAGCACAAGCATAGAAATACACTGGCATTATCAAAGCTAAGATAAGATAATTTTTTTTTTTTTTTTTAAAGTGCACTGGAGGCAAGTAAAAGGAGCCTAGTGATCTATCAGCTTCTGTATCATTTAAGGGATATGGCCACAAATGATCAAGTTGAAGCAAATCAAGAAGTTTCTGTCTTCCAGAGAAGAAAAAAATCTGACTCTAAATATACTCAGTCTGATCCAAGACAAAGGGAAATGAGTCTATGAAGAGTCCTTCAGTGGTTCTGACAGTATCAGAAAAACACAGATAGCAATATTTTAACCTTTAAGGAAGGAATCTATGTTTATACTTCTCTAAAAGAAAACTTTGGAGGAAAAAGTAAAAGAAAAAAAGAGAGAGAAAGAGAGAAAGAGAAAGGAATAAAGGGTGAAAGAAAGAGCTGGTGTCCATTCTGGGGGAGGGCTTGAAACTCTAGATTAAATGAAAAGCAGCCCAAATTCTGCTGGGAGACAGAAGATGAGCTTGCAGGGTCCAGCCTTCCAAATGTCAACTATTCTCAGGACAAATAACAACAACAGCCACATGTCTTGTGCTTGCTTCCTTCTTGTATCCTGACTACTGCAGGAGAAACTGCCAAGTTTCCTCTGCTCTGTACTGCAGCAAAGTTGTGCACTTCAGAAGGGTACTGGTCAGGAAAGAAATCTGAGTTCAGTGTGGTTAAACTTCCTCCCTACCCTTACCATTTCCATGTAGAGCTTCAAATCAAACATAGCGGGATAATGGCATTCATGGAAGAAATTATTCTTAGAAGCATCCTTGACAATTCTTGCACTTCTCTCCCTCCTTTCTAATAAACTTGAAATTGCTCTTTATAAAACTCTCACTGATGTTTCAAATCAGCTATGCACTAAAGACGAAGAAAATGAAGGTTTTCAGTAACTGAAAGAAAATAATTTTAATCCACATTACCAGGTGATATTTCAGGTTATAGCTGGTGATAGTATTCCTGACAGAACAAGACAAAGTGTGTTAACAACAGGCATGTCTTGTTTATATGACTTATGTCATGCAAAGAGCGTAATTCAGAAAAAAATGCAGGGTAAATTCAAGCAATCACAAGAGGCCATTCATCATTCTGCCTACATTTTTCTTTATTCATACTTCCACAAAACTGCAACTGTGTTCATTCCCAGAGGCAGAAGTTCATGGCAAAAGCATTAAAACAGACAACCTTTATCATCTTTCTCCAGCTGTCAGTCAGCCTTTTTTATCTTCCAGCACGTGTAGACAGTATCAACTCCACTGACAGTGCCTCTGCGTTAGTGACTCTGGCCTGAAACAATGACAACATTAAGTGGCTACTGCAAAGACATAAGATTATGTAAGTTCAGAAAGCTAAAGTAGTTAATTGGCTGTTTCCCTAACACCCACAGCACTCCCCTCTGGTTGCATTGGTGTACTGGCAATTAAAAAGCTAGTTTTTCTTAAGATTTCCTCACCCTCTGAAAGATAATAATGAAGTCATGAGAGGTGCATCTTGCTTATATGAAAATGATAACATTCTTTGTCCTAATAAATAGACCCCTGGAGTATAAATGATCACCTAGTGAAGGTTTGCACAAGTACTTGTCACAAGAATAACTGTCTGATCACAAATCTAGGCAACATCCCATACCTCTTTATCTTAGATGCTAGAACAGGATTCTAGGTTTAAATAGAAAGCTAACCCTATGATCTTATTTACTTAAATAAAACTTCTGGCATATATTAATGAGATAAATAAAGGCCTGTAGGCCAAAATCTTTTCTTCCACAAGCAAATTCCCCTTTAGCTTCACAGCACATTTTAGTTCCATGCTGGCAAGTTGAATTTACCCTTTTATTTTCAAACTCTCTCATCAGTGAAAATGACAGGCAACCTTGGCTTATGAAGACACATACGTTATGAAATAATCTAAATTTCAGAATGTTCAAGATGAAAGAGGACTTTAAAATTTGTGAGTACCACAACAACTCCAACACATGCCCAGTATTTAACTAGTGTTGTCAACGTTAGCAGCTGCTGTCTGTTGCCCCTATCTGTAAAGTGTAAAGTGTTGCCT